TTTGGATATTTCTTTTCTGTCCTCTGTCTGAGGACAACACAAGCCATGGCAGAGCACAACTATCAAGGTCCAGATGCTCTGAGGTGGCTCCCTAGGAGCTTACCCCACTCAGTAAAACTGACCTGATAGGTTGGCTTTATCCTGCTTGGAGAGAGTGGAAGCCCTCAAAGGAAGGGGCTGAGGACCTCGGGCTAAAGGGAAGGATGATGGGACATAAGGAAGTTTGATAGGAGTCATCTCTATACATGCAAAGTGGAAATTCCTTACATAAACAAAATTTATTTGAGTTCCTGGCTACAGCTCAATCCGTTCCAATTTCTCTGTCTTATGCTCTACTGGTTAAAAAATCAGTCCAATAATTGAAAAGAAAGAACTTGGCTAAAGAACATAGGGTATAACTGTATGATAAATGCCCAAAAGACAAAAAAATATTGTGGCAGTGGCAAGATCTAGAACTATCACATCTAATGATGTGCCTTATAATTAGCATGGCTGAAACTAATTGTTAATAACCAAAAATAGAGATTCTTAAGAGTTATAACTCTTATAAATATAAATATCTCTTCCATAGAGAATTTTGATGGTGTTTTCTTTCTGTGTTATGGAAATCTATAATTGTGCTTAAGGAAAACATAGAAAAGTATTCTCCATTGCACTTTCTGCTCTTTGACAAGGGATTTGTTCTAAATCTACGATCTTTTCCAAGTTCCAAAAATAAAAATAAGCAAATCTGAATGTTCTTGAACCATATCTGTTTGTATTCTTGGTGACGTTTGTCGTCTGATCCTCAGCTGGAATAAACCAATGAAACACTGGAGCCCCCTCAATTTATACCACTGAAGGTCTGGCTTCCTACCACATTTAAACATAAGGTTCTATTTAAAACTTAAGAACTTGATGAGACTATGGTCAGGCTAGAGCCGAGGTTCAAGTAAACCTGAAGCAGTGTCCAAATTTGTTACAGCAACACCACCTAAAAATACAAAAACCTTGCTGAAAACAGATCCCAGAAAAAGCCCTGCCTTATTAATAGAGATCAGATCATAGAAAATTCTTGCAGAGAAAACTATGATATTCAGATACCAATCTAATCTAGTCAATGGTTTGAAAGTCTGTTAAGAAAAGCAGTTTAAAAGAAGTGGTTTCCATGAGGAGCTGCTCAGCGTGCTGTGGCAGGGGATCTGTGCATAGCTAATTTCCCTGATTATGATGGCAAAAGCAGCAATAATAGCACTGATGTCAGCAAATAAAGAAACCCATGATGTTAAAAATATTAAAGTAGATATTTAATTTTACCCCATATGTTTGACTGACAAGCCATCAGGTACTGACCAAAAGGAGCACATGCTTCTGCATAAAGAATCAGGCATTATATGACCAAGACTTACTTTTTTGTTTTTGAACTTTAGGTCCCTGAGCAACTCTACAAAAAAGTACAAAAAGCCAGGAATAAAAAGAAAATCCATTAAGAAGCAAAACAATAAAGTGGATGGATTTCACTGTTGTCCATTAGGAGGTTTCTTCAGGTAAAAACAAAAACCAAAGAATCAGGATTTGTAGATAACATAATGGAGAATGGTCAAGTGTGGTTTACTTAGGCTCAACATCTGTCAAGTAACAGAGTCTACTCTTTGCAGACAAAAAGAAAGAAGGAAAGCAAATCTTATAAAGGCTGAAGGAAAAAGGAGGAGAGGACTTAACTGGGAGGAAAGAAGGGCAAGTAGCTGGAAAAGACTGTTTTCTGCAGAGGCCCACTGTCTTATAAATGCTGATCCCTGAGAGCTGCCAGCTAGTAAATTCTTATCTGTGTTTCTGGAGCCTGTCATTACAACAAAAGATGACAAGGAGGGAAGATAAAGCATCATACCAAGAATTATTGATACTGACCTTTTTTACAGGATGAAGTTCTACGTTAGATAGGATGAGCTGGACCTCAACAAAGTTCAGTAAGTGCTTTTCTGTGGATTTCTGCCAGCTTTTAGTCTCCATTTCTAGAAAACACACTGAAGAAAAAAAAGTTTGTTTGGCACAAGTGTTAAACAAAAGGACAGAAAAGGCACCAAGAAGGCCAACAAAATCTTTTTAAATTTAGCTGTACATTAAGCAAAATCCACATAATTTTATGAGAGAGGGAATAGGAGGATTTCTTCCTCGCTTTTTCTATCTGATACAGTAATTTTCTGAATGTTTGCAAAGTTTCATCCATGTTTTAACTTTTAGGAAACGAGATCTAAGAGCATGTCATTATTTTAGTCAAGTATTAGGTTCTTGCCCACATAAGGTGCATTTTCTCATGTGGTACTTCCCAGTAAATTCACTGATACTCTGTGTTTGAGAAAGGACATCTCTTGTGAGCAAGGGCTGCCATTTGTGCTGTGCAACCTGTCAGACAGCTCACAAGAATCTTCTCTTTAAATTGAGATTGTAAAGGATGTCCTGAAGCTAGACTCCTTACCTGAACTATCTGCAAAACTGCACCAGAAAAATCAGGTATTACTCTACACAAGTGCAGTCAAAGAAAATTTGGAGCAGATTCTAGTGGACACAGGATTTAGCTCTCCATCTCAAGTTCTTACTTTAGACACTTATTTGCTATGCTTTCACAGTACATTCTCTGATTTTTTTAAAAAAGCTTCATCAAAGGTACTTCAGTCACCTGGTTTATGTTCTGCTTAATCTTATTCTAGGCCTGTGCCTCTCAGAGATCCCTTCCCAAGTGTTTATTGTGGAGACCAGAGACAGAGGTGCAGAAGAAGAGCTCAAACCTCATTTACAGGCAGGTGCAAGAAGTGTCTCCAAAGTAAATAAGGGGTATGTATTTCTTTTGCAGTTATGTGAATTTGAAGCATTCATAGCAAAGGATGCCTTCTCATTAAAATCAGCAGTCCCCCTAGTGGAATCCAATCTGTAAGAAGGTACAGGGTTACTGGAGTAAACGAATTTCTGTAACTGTTGTGCAAGACACAAAGTTTCTTTTTGGTTGAAAAGGAGAAAATTTTCCACAGCATGGTGGATATATATAGAAGCAACATCTGTCAGAGATTGCTGACCGAGTGCCCAGCCTGGAGATAATCTGACTGTTCAGGAAGAGATTGTGATGATTTTGTAATATTCATGATTGTAATCTTCATTGTTTCCTCTTAATATCGTACTTTATAACGGATTTATCTTAAGTACCCAAATGTTTCTTTTCTACCAGGAACATGCTCTGCTCAGCTTTTATTCAATTTTATTTAATTTGTTTAACAGCAAAGAGGACAAGGATGCTCATCAAGTTAATGGATGGCAGGCCTTTGTAAGAGCTTGCTTGCTCTGGCCTTAAAGGCCAGTTACTTACATCAGATACTTCCAGATCTCCATTTGTAAAAACGGATATACTGCAAGTGTTTTAGGTTTTAACAGGTTTTCAAGAAATAGGTTGAAGAGACCAGTGGATATCTCACCTGATAAGGGGCATTTTCTTTAATGGAACATTTGAAGATGGTGTTGCTTGTTTGTGTTCAAACCTCTCATAGTTTTTATGAAGTACCAACTATTGTAGGAAGTGACATGATGGACATGTGCAATAAGATAATTTCCTTTCACAATGATACAGTGGCAAAACGAGAATATTTTTAAGTTCCTCTAGAAACTGAAAGCATTTATGGATAGAAAAGCCAAACCTGATATGTTTGAATTGGCAGCACGCTACGTTTATGAAAGTCAGCTTTTACTATGGAGGACACAGAAATTGTCTTCTATAAATACGTCTCTATGGTGTGCTAGAGCCACAGTGGCACAAAACCAAGGGTGGTGATATTTTCTTGCAGGCAAAATCAATAGCTTGCGGCTGGTGCTTCCTGAAACAGTGTACCAAGGATCTCCCTTGGTAGTGCTGTGTGGCATGTAGCAAAGCCCTCATGAAGTTGTGAAATACTTTGCAACTCACATGAATCACTATTAAAATATTAGAGGTATGTGTATCTAGCCATATCTTCATGCCTGAATCTGGCAAATTTTGTTAAAAAAATGGAGTGCTGGATGTGTGAGGTGGTGGGGGTGGGGGGGTTGAAAATGTGAATGGGTATGAAACTCTGGATTGCAATGCCGTTAGGTAGTGCAACTCCTGATAGAGATGACATCGCTCTTAGGCCTCCTCCTCTCCTCCCTCCCCAACCTTCCTCCCACCACCTTCTACCTTACACAAAGCCTGTGCCAAATACCTTAAAAAAGACAGGAGGGTCCTTGTCTGCCCTGGATGAGCAGGAGCACCCATTTCACAAGGAGCTGAGAGCACGGGCTGTCCATTTCAGTGGGGTGACCTGGCCTGCACAGTTGCCAGCAGCTTCAGGGCGCTGAAAATAGCAAGAAGAGCTGCTTTTTGTGCAGCACAGCTCTGGAGGATGCCTTGCCAAGGACCTGCAGAGCAACCAGGGGAGGTAGGAGGTGTCCCTGGGGGGTTGGAACTCGATGATCTTTAAGAGGGAGGTGTCCCTGGGCACGGCAGGGGGGTTGGAACTCGATGATCTTTAAGGTCCTTTCCAACCCAACCCATCAGTACGATTCTGTGATTCTGTACCTCGTGTGGAGATGGCTGGGCAACCTGAATTTTACTGCCCGCACGTGAGGTGACAGGTCACAGCTCATGAGGGTGGATGCACTGAGGTTTCTTCACGGCCCGTTAAAAATATTAACCCGCCTGCTACAAAAAGGGGGAGAGTGTGTGTGTGTGTGTGGGAGGATCAGAAAGCTCCAGCTGAGCCGTGGGGTGGCCGTGTGTGTGTGTGTGTGTGTGTGACCTCTCAGTGAGGTCTCCCGGAGTCCTCCCGCGGAGCTGGGCTTCAAGGCCACACACCTGAGGCAACCCCCCCGGCCCGCATACCCTTCCCC